GCTGCAGAACATACGCGTCCGATGTGCAAGATCATCCGATCGCGAAGAGCGCTCGAAGCGCTCGACCCGAACACACAGATAATGAATAACAGTACATGGATGGAGATCGTAGTTGACGACAGAGCATGAATGCGCAACATATACTCACAATACTATAGTATAACGGAAGAAATTCCAAAGATATAGTGATGGTAACACTCCTCCGCGACCCGAACATCGACAACTACGACGTCATTCCCATCCAGGATCCGTGGAGAAACCTGTTTAGCGTAACAACGCATTATCTAGCTAGGGACCGACTTCACCTCTGCTACCCATCCAGCGATGAAACAGGACTAGCCAGAATGTGGTTCTTTATTAATAAAAAGCTCGATCACTCTCCTTGACAGTTCAGGGAGACTAGGAGGGATCACTGCACCCTCAGCGTCGAGACAGGCGAGGGTGCCCAACCGCCCACAGAAGTACACAACATCTACAATTCCTCATCTCGGGAGGACGATCGATCGCCGATCCTATAGCAATTGCGGAAATCGCTGGAAACACATCGACACAGCGAACAAATTGTTTTCGGCGACTTTAACCTACATCACGAGCTGTGAAGAGGTAGTGACATCCGGGCGCCAGACTTCGAAGCGACCGAACTCCTGGACCTTGTGGACGACATGAACCTCATAAGTCAACTGCAAACGGGACCCGCCACATACGAGGAAGGAGACCACCGGACAATCATCGACCTCTGTCTCGTCACTGTAGGTCTCGTGGACGGGATCATCAGATGCGAAGTAGATAGCAGCATCGAATATGACTCCGACCATCTGCTCATAGCGACCTCTCTGTACTTGGCAGTGGCCGAGCGGCAGAGAGAGGAGGGACGGAGGTGGAAACCATGGATGAGGAAAAGTTCACCGAGACGCTCCGAGGATCCGTGTCGGAACCACAAACGCCAACAACGAAAGCAGCGCTTGGCCGATATGTAGAGGCAACTGTCGGGGCCCTCTCATCCGCCACTCGAGCAGCGGTCCCGACCAGCAGCCTTTCCCCAAAGTCCAGAAGGGGCTGGAATGAGCAGTGCGCAAACATCCTGGCTGAGACGGAACGACCCCACCGGGAACACAGCGAACGACAGACAAAAGAGAGTTGAGTGGCATGTAGAGAGGCACGCAACAGGAAAGAGCGCATCATAAAGTAAGCGCTTCGACAAGCACATCGCGAACCAGTAGAAATAGCGGCCGAGTCTCCGAGGACGTGTTGGAAAACCGTCAAATGCTCACAGGACAAACAGCCAGCCGCTAACCGTTTCGCCGGAAATCGAGAAACCCAACTCGTCCCAGGTCGCCACAACGCCTGAGGAGAAAGCAGCACTCTTCAAGGAGACCTTCTTCCCCCACCGCCAGAGGCAAACCTCGAAGACATCGACAACTGATTGTACAGCAACCAGATTGGCCTGTCGCTAGTATCGGGAAGCAAAGTAGAGGGTGCCGTCCATGAAGCAGCAACGCTAAGGGTCCGGGTCCCGACAGTGTCACCAATCTGGCACTCCAAGTGGCGAAACCATGGATCACGCCACCTCTCGCGCGCATATTCAACCAGAGTCTCCAAGTAGGATACTACAACATTTCAGGGAGTCCACCACAGTGGCACTGAGGAAGCCAGACAAAGACAATTGCACAGTGTCCAAAGCATACAGGCCAATAGCCCTCTTGGACACGGTGGGAAGATCATGGATGCTATCGTATCAAAAAGATTGAGATGCCTTACCGAAACACGCGGTTTACTGCCAGATAGCCACATGAGCGGGAGAGAACGACGGTCGAACGAGCACGCGCTGTATCAGATCATAGATAAGATTCATGGAGCCTGGGGCTCAGGAAAAGGAATGGTAGCAAGCTTTCTCCTCGCCTAGATGTGTCAGGGGCCTTCGACAATGTTTCGCACTCCATAAAGATTTCCCTTATCGCCAATACTCTACCTCTTCTACAACACAGATCTCTTGGACAGCTACAACGAAGCCGAAGACACGACAGCTACCGGCTTCATCGATGGCATAGTGGTTCTTGCCGGGGGGAATAGCACTGGGGAAACCCGCCAAAAACTCCAAGCAGCGCTTCAGAAAGTTTAGACATGGGCCCTCACACATACCATTGATGTCTTTATGCATCATACCACGCGCCTTTGAGTCAACACTCCGCCGTACTACGAGCTCTATCAACCGTCTTCATTCTCTTATCCCTACTAAGCAGCAGCAAGGCAGGTGGAGTGCCGGCTTCAGGGCGGACTTATGTCGATGCTTGCTAGTCCGATGTCCCAGTCGACCGTTCCCTCGTCAACACCTCTTTGCCCGCTGTTAGATCTGTTCCCTCTTCATGATTGGAGAAACGTTGCCGAGTGTCATGGCCTCCGGGATTGTAGCAGGGGACGAACCCTGGTTAACCGGTGTGTGGGCTCTTGTCACCAGGAGCGGATACAATCCCCAGGTATTTAGAGCGACGTTCTCGCTCAACTGAATCGTCAACTTCAACTCCTACTTCACTTCACTTTTCCCTTCCTATCGCCTATAGATTGTTTCATTCTCCTACTTCACAAACACTCAAATGTCTAAATCTCACGTGGAACCGTCGAGCATTCCAAACATCGAAACTCTTTGCAAACAACTCGGTTACACGACTCAAAGCGATCAGAACAAGATCAGAGCGAGCTTGAAAAAGGTCATCAAATCGTATGTGTCCACGAGAAGTCTGAAATGCGAAGACTTTACCAAGTGGCACTTGCCCAAACATCAGGGTGAAATTCGTGGCGTTGTAGAAGCCTTTCTAGACAGCCACGCAGGACGGTTGTGGCCCTCCGACGAATATGCATCACAGAACCAAAAATTGCAGTACCCTAAAGACAAGGATATGTGAGTCCATATGACTGAAGCGTAATTAATCAGTAATTAACATAGGGTTGCTTTAGAATTGGAGAGAAGATCTTCCGAGTTGTCTGTCGCAAGAGATACTGGGCAGCGAGATACTCCAGTCAGCAAGGAAAGCAGACGACAAGGCCGATGGACAACCAGGACTTCGAAGACAAAGAAGATGGCGATCTAGGTCCAAGAAACTTAGATCGCACCGTGAAGGGCTTCTCCAGCCGCGTTGGGGGTGGGCACCTTGAGACCATACATGTTGCGTCCGTAGCCACCGCGACAATCCTGCATCCAACACGCATGGAAGCATCGTCACACGAGTCCGCGAAGCGACATGCGTCCTCTGATGATCCCCCTGCAAGACGAAATCGACGACGTCTGACAGCGCACATGAGCCGCAGGCCATTCCAGGACAACAATACCAACACCTGCCACGAGCAGGAGAATACCATGGTAGCCGAGTGCCCGGCTCGAAGCTCATACAATCAGTCGTACAACAACGCTGACTCGGCAGACGGCCCTTCAATTTCAGCGAGTGAAGCTCGTTCCGGAACCAATTCCACTTGCTCAGTCGAATCTAGTGTTGCCGACGAAGCCGAGCCCATCCCAGATCTTCGAGCCTCGAAAACAACCGCTGGAGAGCAGTCGCCAGTCGGAGAAGATACTACCCGTTCTGCGCCCGCGGACCAAGCTCTCGCAGAAATGAGCCCAACCGAGAGGACGACTGCGACCACTCAAGAAGAGTCGATCGCAGAAGCGCAGGCAGCGAGAAGCTATGATCCGGTCTTACCTGTCTCGCATAGGTTGATCCTCGGCGGCGAGGGAACGCCAATCTGGTCTGAAATGAACAACATAGTTCAGTCTGCATCAGAGATTGAGTTCGCCTACGGCATTACCGTACATTACCCAGTGCACCTCAGGATACCGTGGACCCCCAGGGGTCATCTTGCTTTCAAAACCCTTTCCGACATGGAGAATGAAGTCAAGACAGCGTTGGAGGAAGGGTGGACTCAAAAGACAGGCAAGCAGGACTTTGCTGGCCTCAAGGAGCTCCAAATTAAATCGTGGCGTTTCGATATACGTGGTCATGGCGCAATTTTAGATTTTGACGTCGAAGTTGGGAGAGAGGAACAGTTCGAACACATGAAGAGAAAGGCAAAGCAGGAGATGCAACTAGCGATACAGATGTCACCGGAGTCAAGACCATCGTTCAACATCGAGATCCAGATAGTTACCAGCCGAGATTCAGGGATCAGACAGTCGGGCGGCAGCAGCTTTGATTGGTAGCTTTTTGTGTGTTAAATCGGATGTGTTTCCGTAGATGGAGAATCTTATCTTTCGTGACTTTCAATTACACGCCTCGTCGAACGTGATCTGTTGCACTGGAGTTAGCTCACTTCGTTACGGGGAGGCGAGGGACAACAATCGGATATCAATAGTATGTAGTTTTCAAGAACCTCCCTGCGAACTCAATCACACGGCGGTGGAGAAAGCGCATCGTATATCGAGACCTGCAGATATGTCGACCGTCGATGATCCAGACGGGTCTAAGCACTTTCAATATCCAAATATGGGACTCTTTCCAGGCGGACAGATGGCTGCTAATAGCCGACGAATTATGGAAGAGAAAGTCATCTCTTCAGACGATGGTGTCGAGGGATTCTTTTGGCACGGTTTGATTCGGGCGTACAAGGAGCTGGCGTATGTCCTGATTGAATTGCGGCAGATCAAGCAACAAGTGTTAATAGTCTCCCAAGACACTACGACGTTTGTCACATCTATGACTTTGCATGAATCTTGTGTCACAAGCTCTCCTGTCATCGAACCGTGGCATGGAGCGCAAAATCCGAGACGCTGAGCTGGGTTGAATCATAAGAGTGGATGGTGTTGGTCAGATTTGCAAGACGAGACAATGTTATTTCCTAGACTAGCCCAAACTCACACTAATCCAAATGTAGTGGACAAATCATCAGAACAAAGAACAAGATGTACGTAAAGGTGGGAATTGACGTATATGCCGACTGGTTGAGTTTGGAGGGACCAAAGATAGGAACGCAATCGGACTACATAGTCACCACTAAAGAGTAGGATGGATCTTGAGTGGTTACAATTCATTTTTCTACCTCGTTCCGGCTCCAGTGTTGCACCGGTAATTATTCGAAAACAGTGTCCCCTCGACCTTGGGTCACGGGCGATGAATCTGACTCGGCTGACTAGGATTGGGACCTGTGAGGTAGTTCAGAGCCATTTCTGCGGCGTCCTCCTTCGCATTGTTCAAGTTCTTCCCGTCGTACCAGAACCGGGCCGAGAGCGTGCGCCCGTGGACGGTCACCCGGCTAGACCAAGCCGTGCGTCCTCCTGCGAAAGAGTCAGTGCCGCTCAAATAGCCAGCAGCGTATGCTTACCTCGCCGATCGGAGATGAGTTGGAACACAGGCGGCATGATGTTGGCCTCTCGGCAGGCATCTATTCGCTGTTCAGACCTGGCGGCGCGGGACGGAGAAAGCTCTCGTACCTTTAAGGCGCTCTTGCCAGGTTTCTGGCTGGCTGCCGTAGGAGGAAGAGGCAGACATGGCATTAAAGGAAGGAGTGTGTGCTATTCGATACGCTGCACATTACATCGTGAAGGCCGTACCCTCGAATACTAATACCAGTGACGGGCTTGTAAAAGACAGCACCAAGGGATACGTCGGAGACCTACGGAGTGATGGCCTGCGCTTTCGGCGCGCGACCCACACTCCGGTGAGCATGACGTCCCAGGACTTTCCTGGTGCGGCGGGGTTAGACGGCCCCACGCCGGTGGTGCGGAAGCCGGGCCAGCGCCGCGGCCGGAACCTGGTCCCTGCGTCTGAGTGGAGGGGCGTTATGCGAGGGCAATTGGGGGGTGTGCTACTTGCCCTCCATTCTGCGTCGTTCGCAGACAGCGCAAGGGTCGGGGCATGCGCTGGTTAGCCCGCAGAAGTGGCGGCCGCTGACGTCCCCTGCATCACCGAGCATGGTGCATGTACACTACACAGACACCCGCTCCCTGGTGCAACGCCACGGGATGAACGGATCTGAATCTGTGTGCAGCACCCCAGTCGGAGGGCTGCAGCAAGCGGACACCCTGACACGGCCGCATGGGCCTGTCTGCCACGTTCGATAAGGTTAGCGTGCACTTCGTAGTTGCGTGGCTACCAGTCGTCTGATGATTGGGTCCACCAACAACGGCTACGCCTGTTTTGACTACAGCGGGGTCGAGTCAACGACGGCACTGACGATGGTTATTGCGATGCGCAGCGACACTTCGACGTGCTGTCGTCCTGGCCGTTGGAAGAGAGTGCCAGCTTGTACCCGAGGTGGCACTTCCGTCACGCAATCTTGCAGACACAACCGTGACTCTACTCGAAGGAGGCGATCCAGACACCTGCAGCTGAAGTGGATCAAGGACTGCGACCAAACGCCCAGCGAGACCGTTCAATGTAGCCGAGTCATTGCGCTACAGGGTGTGTCTTTGCGAACCGCAGGTACCCGGACGAAGGGACAACTTCTCGAGCCCAGATGCTCTGTGGCGACGAGGCTGCAGTAGTCGACGTGGACATAGCAAACATCATTCCATTGACCGCTGTGCTTGAGTGCCCACACCGGTCAAAACGGGAAGCACTGGCAGATTGTTTTGTTTGTTGGCGTCTGGTATCTGAACAAGGGCATGAGTTCGTATTGGCGCATCCACCGACGGGCTGTGGCAGTTCGCAGGGCTCATTTTGATTGGTCGCTCATTGCCCACCATCCACGGAGGCTGAAGATCCATAGGGGCGTGGGAACAAAGCCAATGCTTGCTCAGGAAGAAAGCCAGACACGCCCCCTTTTACTGGGTAATGTACCCATGTTCGTGGCTGGCAGGCATTCGGACCGGGGAGGCGTTCCTACACCCCTGCTCTTCGATTCACTGCGAGAGATCCTGTGGGTGTGCTCTCGCCATCCTTGTCGGCGCATGGTGCAGAGCATGGGACACACCCGACGCCATCTCGCCAACAGAGTCTCGTCTGTGTACCTCCTCGAGTCGTGTGAAAGCCATCCCTCGGCCGTGTACCAGCGCGCTGGGGTCCCCATGCGGAGATATGAGCATCTTGGCTGGGCGTGCCTCGCCTGCATTGGGCAGTCAGGTCCGTTCAGTGTGGGTAAATGGAGGTGTTCGAAGAATCATCCCTAGCCATCAAGGGCGAGCATACCTTGACCGTCGGAAGGTCGACGTTCTCCGGCGTCTGCAGGCGCCCACCCTGCGTGAGGGTACAAGGTTGGATTCAGGCAGCCAATTACACCACCACACACGCGCAAACAATGTCCCCGGAAGGCGACGAATAGCGAAGTTGCATTTTGTGAAGGCCTCCTAGTCCTCGAGCGATGGGTACAGCGCAGGAGAGATGCTGTGCACACACCGGCCACGTTGCTCTCTCTGCTGACGGTTTGATCGTTCCTTGCGCCCCGGCTTGTACTCATGCCCCCAGCAGTCTCAGAGGTAGTTGATGTGGAATGGCTGGTGGCTACCAGGATTTTGTCACCACATCCAATTCACATTGGCCTGGCATATGCAGTAGTTTTTTAGCATTGCATTGTCGGCGGCCTCAGCTTTGGTAACTTCACATAAAGAGAGTCGTCGTGCCAAAAGTGTTCCTTGGGACCGTTCCATGAGAAATCCACCAAGCCATCGGGCTCAACGGCAGGCTCACGAATCAGCTTCAGCATCACCAATCGCTCGCATAGGTGTCTGAACGGGACACCCGATTCTCCCGACAGGAAGGCCTCGACGCTCGGACAACGGAAGCACGCTTAACGTCATTGCATCTACCAAGGTCCCGTCCTTGTCTGGTGTCAATCAACGAGGTTCGTGAGCGTGACGTTACAGGCGCCTCACACAAAGCTTACATCTCTAGGTTTGTACGAACGCTGTGCCTTTGAGGTGGCAGAAGACGCACAGGACCACGTGGATATGAAAGACAAGCCCAGAAGCTTGCTAAAGCCACAGAGCGCCGGTGACGATGGGTACAACCCTATCAATTCTGATCGCGACGCAGCAAAGTTATCGATGCAAGTGAAGACCGGTCGCCCTAGGTCACCGACGGCGTTTGACGTCGACTCTGGTACTCTGGGCTCGCCACTTGCCGGCGAAAGGTTGAATCCCTCAGGCCATGCGCCATCACCAGACCGCCATTACGAGCTTCTGCAGATGTCGCAGAATCATTTGGCAGACTTGCCGAGCTCAGAGCTCGAGACAAAGAGTGTGAACGGAAACGGAGCGATGGAGCCGGTCGACCAGATGGAAACCCCACACAAGACGCCGCCGCCCAGTCTTGGGCGCATTATCTACGAAGAAGCTGAGACGTCAGAAGTACTACCGATCATCTCGGACCCGATCGCCACTGATGATACTGACGGAATCCGAGAAAAGGCTCATACGCCGGACGGCCCAATAGGGCTGTTTCAATGGCTACATAGCCACTTGGCGGAGATGCAATATACATTCACGAAGTTGGATCTGGAAAATGCTAGATTGAAAAAGCAAAACGCCAGCTTAGACAGACATAAGGCTCGTTTGAAAAGGGAAGCGGATCGTTTAGCAAGGCGGGTCGAGGACTTGGAACGCCGCAAAGCTTCACTTGAAAGTGAAGTATCGGTGTTACAAGGAGAGAGAGGGGGGTGGTGCTTTGAGCAAGAGGGGTCTTTTGATAGTTGCAGTGACTGATGGAGAATCGTCTTTGCGGGCTACGTTGAGGGGGCAACGTTCCGAATCCAGGTAGCGAACAAGATCGGATTCCAAGAAGTCGACTCCCAGAGCGGGGATTAGCTTGCGGGCCATGTCTGGTGACCACAAACTCATTAGCCGCCAGATTGCATGATGAGTCGCCCCTAACCTATTCGTCGGTCGGGCGAGCACTCCACGAAGCACGCCCCTCATATGCCATGCCCTTTGGCTCTGGGAACCACACTCTTTGTCAGCGGTGAGCATCACATATGAGAAGAATCACGTCGACGGCCCTGCTCGGCCAAACACCCCAGAAGCAGACCATTGGAGTAAGCTCTGGCAAGGGGTCCATTCAAGAGAAGTGGCGTTGTTTTGATGTCTCCATGGCCGCCAAGGGAGTGGTGATACTTCTCATCCCGAACTCATGTCTGATGACGACGATCATCGTCCCTATTGTATTTGTTCGAATGCTCCGCTAGATGAGTCGGTGTAGCAAGTGCCCCCATGTGTTTCTGGCATGAATTGATCTACAACACAATTTTGATCATCGGACGGTACTGCTCTCAACTGTCAGACTAAAGAAAAGGATTTATCGGCATAAGGCACGAATATGGCCTGAGAATGTAAGGGTCTAAGCCATCTAGCCGCTGCTCCCCTCGTTTCGCTCCACGCCCATTGCACTTTCGCCTTTCCGAGAGCACTCCACGCCAACAAGCCTTAGATCGGACACATCCATACCGTTGATGATTTGCTCGGCTGTTATGATATAGGCAATTGGGCATTCCGGAACCCTGGCGACGACCATTCCACAGAACGAGGTTCCCCTGACTAGCCACGAGCCAGTTGTTCCGTAGGCTATCTGCGTCAGACTTTGGGGAGATGCTCGTGTTCTTATTCGAACTGACCTAAGGGTGTATTCAGTTCGATCTTACGCATCCTTATGGTGGTATTTGTGGGTAACTTCCAATATCTCTCTCCAGAAACCAAGCACGCTCTGAGAAGGGTTGACCCATCCATCACGATCGACAACGGCCCTGCCGTGAGCTCGTCATCCGGACAATATGAGTCAATGGTCTGTGACTGACCCGACGTCCCGGGAAAGGTAAACTTGTTCTCAAGTTGGGGCCATGATCGTGGTTTCATGAGAGTGTACTCACACATGGCGGGGGCCGAAGTTTCCTGTCTGGTCCAGGCGTAGAGGAAGTTGGTAGCAACGATTTCGGCGGGATGCCAATCGATAGTGAGCGCAGTTACGCCAATTGTTGGGCAGGGCAAAACCGAGATGTCGATTGCGGAGTCGGAGTCGGAGTCGGAATCGGCATTCTCGTCGGCGTAAGTGCAAACATCTTGATCGACTCGATCGTTATCATCGAACGACTCTAACCAATGCGTTGGCTCAAAAGCATGTTGCAAAGCTCCGCTTGCGGTTGTCATTAACATGCCACAGAGATGGGGATTCTTCTTTCCGAGAATGGCGGTGGTCAACACTCCTCCGACCCGGTATAAGTCCTGCTTGATCACTTCGTCATTCTCCATGTAGGTAGAGCAGCAGAACAGGCCGCACGCTGAGTCAGGTTCCGATCCCGATGCGCGGCCAACGTGATAAAGCACTTTTCCGCCACGCAATTCGAAAGCAGGGGCTTGTCGCAACTGTTCCAGAGGGATCAAACCACCATTGTTCGCATGGTCTTGGGACAGGAGCTGCGTCATTTTGTCGTCGCCCTAATAGAACGGAACTCGTCGTTGAGATGCGCAATGTAGCGAGGGGGGCGACCAGGTAATTTGTAGGCCGACGCCATTCAGCGAAGCTGCGCGAGTTGATGACTTTGAAGGTCAAGTGCTCATGGACGCTGGCGCATTCACGTGTGTCAT